TCTTCAAGAATAACTCTACAAATGATATCTCTCGAGTTGCCAACAGAAAGTTTAAGGAAAAGACGGCGAACTTCCGACGGCTGTGTACCCTGCATTCTTACGCATGCCTGTAATGGATAATACTAGTGTTTCGGTCAACCGAAGAGTCTCAATTGTATTTAATCTAGCGTAAGGCTCGACATTTACATTACGAGCCAAGTTCTTGTTTGACCTACCCGAGAACGAACTCAAGTTATTAAGCGAGGAAGGAGTCTGCACAAACTCTGGAGACTCTCAAAGATCGTTGCCTCATGAAAAGATTTCGTCAGCTTACATGATCACCTGACCTTGATGAGGACTTCATGAAAGACATGGGAGAGGTGAGTTCCATTTAGCGAACTCAACGTTCGCAACTTAGATTAGTTACAAAATATGTATGCAACTAAACACCGCAGGCGAGAAACCGTCTTTGTCAGTCTTAGTCCGCGAAATCTTCGTTTGATGCTCCTTCGTAGGGCTGAACCGTACTGGCAACTTCCATTTCTTCGTTGTTACTTGAGTACGATGTATCACAGCTCTCAGTTGAGAATGCTGAGGGTAGGTATACATCGCTATGAGACATTATTTCAGGAGTATTTCAACTCTGACTAATACAAAATTACAAGAGATGTGAGAGATTTGTATTACAGCGTCAACTGAGAGTTTTCCCAATTTTCTACGTCATCACACGTCAATTCGTTCCCAGTCTTTTGGACAATCTTTTGGGCCCAAAAAAATCGGGTTTTGATTTTTTTCAAATTTTTCCTCTATCGAAATTGGTTTTTATATATGTTAAGCTAGATCTAGAAGCAAAAAATATTTCAAGTCATGGGCACTTTAACTTGAGACAATGAAGCGCCAGTAACCATTAAGAAATGTGAAAGTTTTCGACGGATGGTTATTCATCTAAAGGGGTTACTTTACATTTTAGTGTAATTGTTTACTTTGACACCGACGTGTTCGGTAGAACTGTCAGGAGTTCACCGATTTGTTTCCACAAGATTATTAGAAGAGCACTGAACTGAAGAGGCTTGGAATAAATTTTAAAAGATTTTGGGGGGATCTCGTTTCTTCATTCATATAAATCGGCGGGAAAGAGACTCGAAAAAAAAGTGGTCCATTAGTTACTTTATGGAAATTAATGGAGTCCTCGATGTTTGACTACTTTCCTGGACTTTATTTCTCAAGCTTTAAATCTTGCACAGGCCTGGCACTTCTGCGTATTTTTTTAGACGTGTTTACTGCTGAGCCTTCGGCACCTCTTCAATAAATATCTGGGACAAAAAATTCCAGCCTGTGTCCGCGTCAGCACTCTTCTCGTCCGTGCACTAAAGTTCAAAAGGATTGTTCCGTTGCTGTGCACCCATTCATGCTGAGAGAAGACTGTTATAGTCATTTTCTTGATGGCTCGATAATTCATGGATCTCCAGGTAAGGTTTTCGCTCGTCATTTTGCAATTTTTGCAAGGAGATCTAGATGAACCAAAACTTATAAGAAAACATGCGAAAACAAAAAGTTTTGTGTAAAGATATTTTTTCCGAAAGTCTTTGATCAACCTCAGTTTCGCCTTACTTTAGATGAATACAAATGAAACTTTAACTTTTGTTTAAACATTGATTATTGAGTTCTGATTTATCGACTTGTCTGTTCACTTTAATTGCTTTTGATTCAACGAGTTGTTATAACAACAATGAAATGCGAGGGAGCGACAGAGCTGAATAACGCATGCGCACGCGCTAGGTTTTGACGCGGAAAAACGGATTTTGAGTCGTTACATGGCTGACGATAAACACTTTTGCCCCCGTTCTGGAAACTGGTCAAAAAAGAAATGCTATAGCCAGTTATGAAGTCAATTCGCCATATGAAACATACACTCAATTTTCTTTTAAGTATTTCTCAAAACTGCTAGACATACGGGACCTACTTTGATGTCAACTGGTTTGCTGCTCTTGTTACTGGTGCCAGAACACACGGTGATCAGCGGTAAAATCAGTAAGATTAGCATGATTGTCGATGAAAGGTTCATTGTTGTTATCTGATGAGCTGTGGGTAAACATAAAATAATGACCAGACAGAGAGTTAACTAATGACCAAATGAACAGAATACTTTTACTTTTAGGATATTTTACATTATTAGAATATACACTGACTTTGTACTAGTTTACTGTACGTTACTTCTGTCCCAAATTGATGGTCACTTTTAAAATCAGCGAAAGTTCGAGCCATTGTATAAAAAAACGGAAAAATTTTGTTGAGTGAGTTTTTCAATTTATAGAAAGGTTTATCCAATTCATCGCAAAATAAAGGTGGAGATTAGCGGAAGTACAATGGTGTTGAAACTCAGTCTTTAACACCACTTTCCTTTAAGCGATAAACTTGTTTTTCCCGTCACAAGGATGCCCACTTCACCGTAAATTTTGAATAAGACTTTATTTGAAATGTCTTTTGTGATAAAATGAATTTTATGGCATGCTTTACCAAGTAAACAACTCGTAAAAGTCATCAATGAAGGAAAAACTTCATTTGAAACGAAATATGTAACATTTTTTATCAGTTATTCACTAACGATGAACGTTTTAAGCGCTTGACGCCGCCTTGCTCTCGTAGCTCATTAGCTTTAGCCTTTGAGTTTGATGTTCTGCATTTTAAATTGTCTATTCCATGATTTTTTTTTTGTAAACACAAAATAACATCTCTACTAACATAGATCGTTTCAATGAGGTTTATAAAAATTGTATTAAAAACTGTTTCTGAAAGCATTTACGTTTTAAGGAGAAAAAACACTACAAACTGAAGTAAAGTGACAAATACTGTTGAATTCAAACCTGAATTTGTAAGAAAAAACCGAAAACCATAACAACATAAAACGCCAAATAGGTTTTTGGAAAATTATTAAAACTTAGACATTGATAAAGATTCTCGAGTAAACTAGTTGTATTACATGTTTTTCAATTAATGCTCCCAAAAATTTTCAAAGCTTAAAAGCAAAGATTGACAGCAATAACTGACGTGGGGCTAGGCTGTATTATATTTTGCGACAATTTGAGAGGTATTTATCTTAAGTTATTCTTCGTCGTTTGGCCTTTCATGTAGATGCACGGTAGTTCTCCAAAGATGACACCACTTAATGTATTAAATGAAAAAGGCTCGAGGGATGATTTTGTCTCATTTGATGACGATCTTTTTCAAATGAGCGATTGGCTTTCTAGGCTTGATTGTGATATTTTACGCCAAAAAACGTTATTTGTTATAATCTAACAAAATTCTCTCTCTTCACAACACCAGATATTAGTTGCTCAACATTAGGCAGATTTAATGTGAGTTTTAGATAAAAAATCAATGTGAAGCATCAGGCATGTTCCCTAGATGTTGTCCAGCCAAGTGATCCACTCACCTTTAAAAATCATTCGATGCGTGTTGTGAAATTCTTGAAACGAAGGAGTTAGCGTAACAGCAAAGCCGGCAAAAGAAGAATGTTTTTGTTAACAGCTTTTCAAGAATAAAACCGAAGAAGGTAAGACTATAACCAAAACTTAAGTCTTCTTCTCCACGATGCTTACCTCACTTTTGACTGTTTTGAACGTAAATGAAAATAGTTTTCTTACAAATAGGATAACGTTTTTTTTTTTACTTATTCCTCGTTCGAACAAGTTTGAGAAACAACCGACGTGTTGGATCCGGTGTGAGATTCTATTCTATCTTGTTTTACAATTGGTCAGAGCAGATGCTTTAAATTACTCAGCTTATTCTTCCAATAGTATGAAACGTTTCATTTGTGTTACGGTGCAACGTCTCATTTGTAGCATCTTCTACAAGAGCCAAGAGTGCACTGTGATGCACCCAATGCTTTACTGCCTGAAAAAGTTAAAGCTGTATATCATTTAATTGTTACAGAAACTTAATGAAGCGTTCCTGAACAAGATATTTTCTTTTTGTCTTTCAGACACTTTTGAATCGGAGGGAAGTTTTGAAGCAGTCAGAGTATCTTACATGCATTCCATATCGATCCATGCGTTAATCAATATTTTAGTTTGAGCGATAAAAATTCAAGTTCGTGTAATGATTAAACGATAATGTCGAAAACTTTCTAAATAGCGTTATCAGGTAATAACTCCAAGCTTCAAGCTCTTGTTTTGAACTCATTCGATTCTCTGCTGGACAAAACCATATAGGAATTAAACGTGACAAACAATACATGCCAGACTCCATTCCTTTATCAAAGGTCATGATTAGCTAGGAAATTATAATTTCAGCGTTACGTGGCGCTTTCTTGCCAAAGTTGTTCTTCAAATTTTTTAAAATATGCGATCCGATGTACTAACTGCTTATCTACATCATGAATTGTTGTGAATCACATATTACATATACGAACGGAAGAGACCACTTTTTCTTATGAAGCAGGCGATGAAATAAAATCAGAGAACTCTCCGATTGCACTGTTGTGGCTGTTTTATTATTCAAAATTTGCCATGGGCTTAGCAATTATAATCACTGTTTAACCAGGGATTTTTTTAGAGTTTTTAACTTAGATGCCCAAGGAAGTAGAAAGCTTTGTTGACCAAAATTACTTTTTTAGCGACTGTATTGGTGACATTCAGATTCAACAATATCGAGTCCAGGCGTTTATAAATTACTCACCTTTAATTAAGTTTGCTCCTTTGTTTGATTGTTACTCGTAAAAACAGAACAGGTATCGGTAGAGCGCCGAGGGAACAGAATGGTTTAAGGCTCTATTCATTCATCGTTTTGAGCGATCAAATTACACAGAACAAGAGCAAGGAATCACTGAACATGATAATATTATAGTTACAAAGACAGCGATCTTTTTTTCAAAGGATGTTACGTGCTGATTTGAGACATCCATGACTAACCTTTTATTTTGTTTATCGAATGGGCTTCTCGTCAAGACAAGTTTGTGAGTAATGAATCTACATAAAATTGATTTGTTGTGAATATTATTTAACGTGTGCGACCATGATGGATCTGCCTCAAATCGGCTTTCGGTTGAACTTTAATTTCTTTACTTAGTGTTATCAGTCAGAATACATTTGGGTAGAACCCAGAAATAAACAGAGGGAGAAAATAACGACGTTTATCCGCTATTTGTTAACTAATCTACTGTTAATTTTTGAAGTAGTTCTTCTGGACTATGAATTTTTTGCGCAAAGTACGGTTTGAAATGTGGTGAAGAACGTAATAAAAAGATTGGAATCATTGGTTTTACAAATGCAAAATACTACAAACTAGCATCAAAAGGAACGATACAAATTAGAAAAACTAAAACCGAGAAAAGATTGTAGCGGTCATTATGGCTAAATCATTCATGGATACCAAGGTAAGCTTTACCGCTTCTTGTGTTGCAGTTTTTGTAGGGAGACGAACCAAAAAGATTTATTGAAAATGTATTTGTAGTATTTCATGGTTAGGTGCTTTCGTGTAAAACAAGTCCAGCACTAAGTTATTCAGTTTCCGGGATTAATCTCAGTTTCGCCGTACTTTAGACATATACAAGTTAAACGGTTGTTCCGATAATGAGTATAGGGGTTCCATCTCGTCGCTTTGTTTCTTCATTTAACTTTGTTTTTGATGCAAAAATAAATTACAGAAATGAACTGTGCTGGCGAGACAAGCGAGCGCTTCAGTTAGACAACGAGATTATTGCACCGCACCAGGTAAATGTTCTCAGTGCGTTTCTCTGACTCGGAAAATCCTTGCTGAATGTCGTTTCTTGAGGAAGTAAAGCTGATAAAATTTACTTTATTCTTTATTGTATTTTCTTTTGGTTCTTTCCATACATATATCGTAATAGTTTTAAGCCCTGTGGGTAAAAAAACTTGTTTAATTGTTCGTGTCAACATTAATTCAGTTGAAGACGCAGTTTATGTTAATTTGCTTACTAATTTAGAGAAATAAGAACCTTCATATGGCTGAGCGTTAGGAAAATTTGAAACCAAAAGTGAAAGTTTTCCATATAATGATTAATGGATTCTGAAACAGAATAATAACTGTTGAGAAACTACCAAGTCATATTGGAGTTTTCGTGTAGGAAATTGAAAGTATAATTGAACTCTGAGGGACATGTCAACAACAAAAAATTCTTTTAGCCCTGAACTTTTGTTTAACCGTTCCAAGCGCTGCCAGCTATGGAATAATGACAAAAATTGTTGATGCATAATAGTATTTACAGAATTATAGTGGTAGTATGATGAAGATCCGGGACATCGTGGCCAGCCTGTGTACGCGTCAGCACTCTTCCTAACAGTAGAACACTTTCCAACCCAGAATCCCACTCGCACCTTTTCCTTGTGAATGTTATTACAGTGACCTTCAACATGGCGGTGACGATGAAGATCGTGATTCCTGCCGGTTTGCATGTAGAACGCCCCGTCAATCGAGCGAGGAGAGCGGCACTCGGTGCCATTGAAGGTAAAATACCAATGGCTACAGCATCTGTCACATCCATAAAGGGAAGTGTCTGTGTAGTTCTCTTCATTAACTCGCTGTTCTGTGCAGAAAAAATGAATGTGGTTAGTAAATATTTATAGTTGCAATTTCAAAAAATTAGTTGTTGGTATTTATCTTTCGCCACAAAAACGGGAGACTTGTATAATTAGAAGTAAAGTAGTCACAAATTCGTTATAAATTACTCGGTCCTAATTACTCTTTGTTCCTTGTGAAAATGCTGCTTCTTTATAGTGTGGATAAAGAGGGAAGAAAAAACCTTACAAGCGGACTGCTGTGCTGAAAAGGTTATGCAACCATAAGAATATTTTTTACAATCTTACACTGTTTGTCTTGAGTTTAAAGCTTTTACAATTTCCAAAAAAGGGAATTATCCTATTTTGGAATTGATAAGAAAAGAGCAGTTTCCATCAATGATGAAATCAATACACCATAAAGGAAAGCGATGCTATCCGCTTTCCCAAAGCTGCAAGACGGAACTTACTTTGTTGTCAGCTGGTTTGCTGCTCCTGTTACTGGTGCCCGAACAAATGGTGATCATCGGTAGAATAAGTAAAATTGGCAGGATTGTCGATAGAAGATTCATCATTGTAAGCTGATGAGCTATGGATAAACATAAAGGATAAAAACTGAGGAAATTAAAGTGGGGGGGAGCTTTAGGATTTTCTGTTTTAGCTATTTTTCAGATCGGTTTTTCTGTTTTTGGGCCAAAAAAACTTGTTTTTCGGTTTTTCGGTTTTGGTGTTCATTGTGGTTTGCGGATTTTCTCTCTTTTTAAGCATTTGGTTTTCGGTTTTCCCTAAATCTTGCCCAACGAAATAATCCACTCACTTTTAAAAGTAATCGACGCTTGTAATGAAATTTTCAAAACGAAGGAATTAACGTAACTGCAAGGGAAAAGAAAAATGTTCGTATTAACAACTTTGCAAAATTAAAACTGATGGAAGAAATTAAGAAGGAGGGCATTGACATTTTCTATTTTGCAGTTTTGGCTAGTTTTCAGACTGGTTTTCGGTGTTTGTGCCAAAAAATTCGGTTTTTCGGTGTTGGTGTTCATTGCGGTTTGCGGATTTTCCGTTTTTTAGCATTTCATTTTCGGTTTTCTTCAAACTTCGCTCTCGAAAAACTGTTCGCTTCTCTTTATTTATCTATAAGCCTATTTATCTTTTTTTTTTTCTATTTATAGGCAATATTCATGAAGGAGGATCCAGTTCAGCTGAGTCTTGTAACGAACAGAAAAGCGAGTAACATTGGTTCTTGAACAGTTTGTGGACGATTTCGAAGACGCTACAGTGATTGTGACTTTAGCAATTTTTTATTCATATTTGACAAAAATCTCGTGAATTGTTTCTTAATTAGACAAGTAATCTTTCTGAAAAATAGCATTTCGAAATCATGGTTTCCTTGACTCGAACCCTGCGACTTTAAGACAAATTATCCGATTTTCCTCGAATAGTGCGTTAGCTATCTAACGCGATGCGAGACCTATTATGGGCAATCGCCCCATCGTGTAGTATTAGAAGGCTTGTTCATTGTAGCGTTTAGTAGAATAAAAAAAGGGAGAAAAAAGAGAAGGAAAAATATCCGAAGTAAAAAAAAAACATAGGTGACTTCAGTGTCTGAACTTTATAGTGACCAGCACGGTTCGCGTCGTCTTACATGATGGGGTCCTAGCTTCTTACATACAATACCCGCTGACATGGCGCTTTACTAGCAATAAACCAGAAAGCCCAAAAGGCTTGTAAAACATCGAAACATAACAATACGGTAAGATGAACCATGATAGATCTAGATGCACCTCGTGACCGAATATGCACAAAGTTCCAGGTAACACTGGCGAAGACCCGGTGATTTTTCCCTAGCTGGCAATCTAACCTGTCTTTGAGGGTGTATCTCGCGGCAAATTAAAAGGGATAAGAAGAAGAAGAATATCAAAGGAGGGTAGCTCCAATGTAAAATCTAATGCTGAGTTTCATTTTTGAGGCCCTCGTAAACTGTCTTTGTCACTGGTGATAAAAGGTCACAATGTTTCAAATGTGTACGATCTGAGAACAAAAATCTTAAATGAAATTCAACTTTGAATCCTATTGAAATCTTGTTTCCCATATCGACGTCTCATGTCCGAAGCGTGCATAATGTCATTAACTGAGTTAAAATGTAAATTCGCCACCCTAAAGAGTTTCAAGGCTGATGTTTCGAGCGTAAGTCCTTCGTCTTTCGCTCTGACGAAGGGCTTGCGCTCGAAACATCAGCCTTAAAACTCTTTACGGAAGCCAATTTACATTTTCAACTCAGTTGATTAAACCCAAGTTGATAAAACCGACGCAGCACCACAGTTTCTTTAGAAACTTACCCCCATTATTCGCTTCTCTCTTCAGTTCACTTATCATCGTATTTGATGGTACTTTTCGAAATGTATGCTTTCTATTTGTGTACTTAAGCGATAGTGTTTCCTTTCAAAAGGACAGTTTCCCTCGGTAACAGAAATCGCTCGGAAAGTAATCATGGCAGCCTTTTTGTTCAGTGAAAATTGAAGGGTGAAAGCCTCCTGGAAACTGATATGAAAACGTTTATGCAGCCCAGTTCCATGTCGCGAGCCTAACTTTGATAGAAACGCCATTAAGAATTTGGGAAAAGTATTCAGTAGTATTTTGTATGTGGTAGTTCCGGCAGAACTGTTTCATGTGCACCAGATGAACAAGGAAGAAATGTTCAACATATGGCGCATTTCGTTCTCTATTTTCCATAATTGCGAAGGAGATGCAATTTGATCACGGATTTGCCTCGCCAGTTACTTGGTAGAAATTAATGGAATTGATTTATAACAAATATTTGAGTTCTTTCCTGGACTTGATTTCTTAAGTTTTGAATCTTTCACAAGCATGGAACTCTACAAGTTCTAAAACTAATTTTCTTTAACTATTTCAAGAAGTCCAGTTTATCACGTTTGACGTGTTTACTGCTGAGCCTTTGGCACCTCTTCAATGAAGATCCGGGACATTGTGGGCCAGCCCGTGTGAGCATCCGCATTTTTATAGGCTTTGATGCATCTACCAACCCAGAATCCCACTCGCACCTTTCCCTGGTGAATGTTGTTACAGTGACCTTCAATATGGCGGTGACGAAAAAGATTCCGACCCTTGCCGGTTTCCATGTAGAATGCGCCGTCAATAGAGCCAGGAGATCTGCATTCGGCGCCGTTGAAGGTGAAATACCAACGGCTACAGCATTTGTCACATCCATAAATCCTGAGGTTACCAGCAAAATAGACGTGAAGGGAAGTGTCTGTGAAGTTCTTCATGAACTCGCAGTTCTGTGAGAAAAATCAGTCTAATGAGTACATATAGTTGCAATATCCAAGAGCTGTTTTGTCTAATGGGAGACGTTTCAAACCAAAAACCATCTTCAAGGCAGTTACTGATACAATTCAATAAAACTGTCAAAATTCCATTGATTGCTTCTTGAGAAAATGCTGCTTTTTTTGTCGTCAATAGCATTTTGATGGTAAAGAAAAAAATGCGAAGATCATTATCTATATAGTTATACCTACTTGGATCACTCCTGAGTCTTTGTCGTCTTCTCTCTTCCATGTACATTCTTTCCAGTTCATATGCGAGGAAAGCTGAGACACACCTGGATTTCCACTCTCGCCGTTCTCTCCTCGCTGTCCCTTTTGGCCTGTAGGACCCTGGATACCAGGCTCTCCCTTCCAACCTTTGCTTCCTTGAGGGCCAGGAGGTCCTTTGGGCCCAGTGTTTCCCGGACGTCCCCGCTCTCCTTTGGTTCCGTCACGTCCATCACGGCCAGGTGCCCCAGGAGGTCCTGCCATACCATGCATCCCAGGGATACCATTTGTCCCTGGTTGTCCGCTATAACACTGAGAAAGGGGCTGAGACAGAGACAGAAAAGAAAACAAACATACAGTCACTCCATCAGGTTTTAGTAAACGAATGGACAATTACGGTGTTAACAATTGTAAATATGAATTGCAGAGGAAAATCAGGAAAAAAAAAAACATTTAAGCGGATTCCTCGAACGAAAAGATCATGCAATTAGAAGAAATGTATTTTGGTAAAATCTAATCTATTCTAAATTTTGCACTTTTTGTCTGGCAATTAACGTTTTTACCCCCTTTCTGGCAATTGCATGAAAAAGAAAAGCTTCAATCAGTGACGCAGTTAACTCACCACATAGGACTGAGATGGAATCGAACGTTATTTCTTCTCACTTTTCCCTCCTTCCCAAAAACTGCTAGACATGCGGGACTTACTTTGTTGTAAACTGATTTGTTACTTTTGTTATTGGTGCCAGAACACATGGTGATCAGCGGTATAATTAGTAAAATTAACAGGATTGTCGATGAAAGGTTCATAATTGTAAGGTGATGAGCTGTGGATAAACAATGAAACAATGACTAGAAAGAAGTTAATGATTTTTTTCAAATTTTTCCTCTATCGAAATTGGTTTTTATATATGTTAAGCTAGATCTAGAAGCAAAAAATATTTAAAGTCATGGGCACTTTAACTTGAGACAACGAAGCGCTAGTAACCATTAAGAAATGTTAAAGTTTTCGACGGATGGTTATTCATCTAAAGGGGTTACTTTATATTTTAGTGTAATTGCTTACTTTGACACCGACTTGTTCGGTAGAACTGTCAGGAGTTCACCGATATGTTTCCACAAGATTATTTGAAGAGCACTGAACTGAAGAGGCTTGGAATAAATTTTCAAAAGATTGACACTGAGGTGATTGACACTTCTGACACTGAGGTGAACTTTCGAGGACCTGGTGAAAAGTCTTTGTCACTGGTGATAAGAGGTCACGATTGTACTCGCAGTACTTTCAAACGTGTGCGATTTTAGAAGAGAAATCTCAGATGAAATTCAACTTTGAATCCTTTTGAAACCCTGTTTCCCAGATTGAGATCTCATGTCCGAAGCGTGCATAACACAATCTGTCACAAACTGCTTCTCTCTAAAGTCCACTTCTCACCACATTTGGTGGTATTTTTCGAAATAGATGCTTTTTATTGTAAAACGACATTTTTCCCTCTTATCTGAAATCACTGAGAAGGTAATTGAAGCGTGAAAGCCTCCTGGAAATTGATATGAAATCGTTCATGCAGTCCAGTTCCATGCCGCGAGCCTAACTTTGGTGGAAACGCAATTAAGAATTTTGCAAATGTAGTGGTGTTTTGTATGTGGTTATTTATCAGAAGCATTTACTTTGCATTTAAGAGTACGAATACTTTTACACTGACTTGGTCAGCAAAACTGTCACATGTATATCAAATGAACAAGGAAAATATGTCCAGCATATAATGCATTCTGTTCTCTAAGTTCAATGATAACGGAGGATATGTAATTTGATTTGCCTCACCACTTTCTTAGTGGAAATGAGTGAAATTGATATATAACAGATATTTGAATACTTTCCAGGACTTTATTTCTAAAGTTGTAAATCTTTAACAGGCATGGCATTCTTCTAGGTCTAAAGATAGTTTTCTTTAATTTTCCCAAAAAGTCCAACATATCACGTGTGACGTGTTTACTGCTGAGGCTTTGGCACCTCTTCAATGAAGATCCGGGACATTGATTGCCAGCCGGTATACGCGTCAGCACTCTTATGGCCAGAAACACACTTTCCAACCCAGAATCCCACTCGCACCTTTCCCTTGTGAATGTTGCTACAGTGACCTTCAATATGGCGGTGGCGATGAAGATCGTGGTTTTTGCCGGTTCGCATGAAGAACGCGCCTTCAATCGGGCCAGGAGAGCTGCACTCGGCGCCATTGAAGGTGAAATACCAACGGCTACAGCAACCGTCACATCCATAAATCCTGAGGGTACCAGCAAAGTAGACATGGAGGGAAGTGTCTGTGAAGTTCTTCATGAACTCGCAGTTCTGCGCAGAGAAAATAATTGTGATTAGTAAATATTGTTGCAATATCCAAGAATTTGTTTGTCTTGCACCTATTTATCTTTCGCCACAAAAATGGGAGACCTACATTCAAACTCAAAAATCATCTTCAAGGCTTTTACTGATACCCTTCAGTGATTAGGAATAAAATTGTCACAAATCCATTGATAAATTACTGGGTTTAATATTTTTTTTTCTTGAGAAAATGCTGCTTTTTTCGTTGTCAATAGCTCTTGATGCTTAAGACAAATAACTACGAAGATCATTATCTGTTTAGTTACTCTTACTTGGATTACTCCCGAGTCTTTGCCGTCGCCTCTCTTCCATGTACATTCTTTCCAGTTCATATGTGAGGAAAGCTGAGTCGCCCCTGGATTTCCACTCTCGCCTTTCTCTCCTCGCTGTCCTTTTTGGCCTTTAGGGCCTTGGACACCAGGCTTTCCTTTTGAACCTTTACTTCCTTGAGGGCCAGGAGGTCCTTGGGGCCCAGAGTTTCCAGGACTGCCCGATTTTCCTTTGGTTCCGTCACGTCCATCACGGCCAGGTGCCCCAGGAGGTCCTGCCATACCATGCATCCCAGGGATACCATTTGTCCCTGATTGTCCGCAACAGCATTGTGAGGCAGGCTGTGACGGAAACAATAACAAAAGCCAAATGTCTAAGCCAAATATCTAAGCGGACTGCTCTACTAAAAAGGTCAGGATTTTACAATTTTACACTGTTTGTCTTGCAATTAAAGCTCTTATGATTTCTGAAAAATAAGTATGATCCCTGCGAAACCTTCAATCACTTACGAAATCAATACGCTATAAGGAAAAGCGAGGGAACAGCTATCCGCTCTCCCAAAACTGCTAAACATGTGGGACTTACTCTGATGTCGACTGGTTTGCTGCTCTTGTTACTGGTGCCATTACACAAGGTGATCAGCGGTAGAATCAGTAAAATTAACATGATTGCCGATGAAAGGTTCATTATTGTAAGCTGATGAGCTGTGGATAAACATGAAACAAAGGCTAAAAGAAAGGGTAACTTTTGACCAAATGAAAACGAACAGAATACTTTCACATCACCAGAAAAAAAAATGAACGATATTGAGCTTGTGCTCGTTCACTGTATGCTACTTCTCTCCCGAAATCAGAAGTCACTTTAATTTGAAAATGGTATTCAATTTTTGCGTTCTTTGGATGAGATTTGTAAACATTTCAAGTTGCATTTTAAGTTTTATCAGAACTGGAGAAGTGGACGTCTTTGTTTGAATGAAGTGATTGGTTTGAGGCCAGCATTTTTGTATTGGTGGAAAATAATATTTTCTCGGAATCCGAAATCATTCGTTGGAGCGAAACACATTATCGTCACTTTGTATAATACTTACATCAAGGAAAAAGCACTTGTTGGTTAGTGCTGTAACATTTTTCAAGTTAGTGGAGAACCAATATAAATCTTTGATGATTTTTAGATCAAAATCGATGTAAAGCATCAGACATGTTCCCTGAATCTAACCAAGTGATCCACTCACCTTTAAAGGCAACTCGACACTTGTTATGAAATTTTCAAAACGAAGGAATTAACGTAACTGCAAAGCAAAAGAAAAATATTCGTTTTAACAGCTTGTCAACAATGAAAACCAAAGAAAATAAGAAAATGTAGTTAAAACTGGAACCTTAATCTCCGCGATGCTTACCTCACTAGTGATTGTTTTGAATGTGGGTAGCAAAATTATTTTTCAGTGCAAATAAGAAAACGTTTTATGTTTGCTTGACATCTCGTCCGAACAAGTTTGAGAAACAGCAGACGTGTTGGATCCGTTCTAAGGTTTCATTCTTTTGTGTCTTACTATTGGCCAGAGCAGATACTTTGATTTACTCAGCTAATTAGTCCAATAGAGTAAAGCGTTTCACTCTTCAGTGTTACGGTACCACATCTCAGTTGTTGCATCCTCTCCAAGAGTCAGCTGCGATGTGTCCAATGTGTTCCTGTTTGAAAAAGTCGAAGAATTGGCTTGAATTATATCATTAAATAGGTACAGAAAGCTGTGGTGCGTTCCTGAACAAAATATTTCCTTTTTTTGTATTTCTTAAGGCCCTAAAGATAACGCGGTTTATATTTGAACCAATTGGATTACCTTACATTTAACGTGTTCATCAATATTATACGTTGAGAAACAAAATTTTATGTATTTATAATGAGCTCATAAGAATGCTAATTAGACCTGAAGATTCGACATTGTCGAGACCAGACGTTTAAAAATATCTCACCTCCAATTAAGGCACGTTGGTGTTTGATTATGCCAAATACCGATATCAGTAGAAGGCTTGGGGGAACAGAATCAATTATTTCTCATACAGAAATCGTTTTTAAACGATGAAGTTGCACTGAAAAAGAGCCGGATACATTACTCAACATGATAATGGTACGTTATAAAGACAACGAATTATGATGTGTCTGATGTTTTCCTGCCTAAAAAGTCCAAGATGAATTCTTATAGTTGCTACAGAAAATTCTGAATGCGTCAGGTTCCTGAACAAAATATTTACTCTTTGTATTTCAAAAACACTTAAATATTTAGGGAGGTCATATCTGAAGGACATTTTAACCTCGTTCTTACGTGGCGCTTCCTTACCAAATTGAGATAGTTTCTAAGTTTTTTGTAAAAATATGCAGTGCGGTGTATTTCTTGCTTAGCTACCGTACATTATGTCGGAATTGCTGTGAATCATATCAGGAACGGAACGGAAGAGCGCATCGTTTTGGCGCGTTGTCATCGATGAAATGAAATCAGAGATACCTTTTCCATTTCCAGTCATGTGTCTGCTTTATTATTTGAAACTTTGGCAAGGGTTTAGTAAGTATAATCACTGTTTACCGGGGAGTTTTACAGAACTTTAATTTCAGATGTTCAAGGAAGAACAAAATGTTGCTGACAAAATCATTTCTGGTGACTATGTTCGTGACCATAGGATTTTTAGAGACTTAACCAGACATAAAAGATATCTCCGGCCATTTCAATTCTATCAAGTTTTCGCCTTTGTTTGGTGTGCCACATAACAATGAATATCGTTGGAGCGCTGAGAGGACAAAATGGATTAGGTTCCATTTAAATATCGTTTTTAACAGTTGCATAGAAAGAGAGTAAAGAATTATTCAACATGAAAATTGAATGTTCGCAGAGACGGCGGCTTTCTTTTAAATATTTAGTACTTGCCTAAATGCGAAATCACTCAACTTTATTTTGTTTAATAAATGAGCTTCTCGTTAAGACAAGTTTGTGAATAATGAATCAGTATAAGAGTCATTAATTTTGATGAATAAAATGTCCTTTATGTGATCCTTTTCCTTTGATTGGATTTGCCTCAAACTGGTTTTTTCGTTGAACTTGAATGTGTCTACTTAATGTTATAAAAATACTTTTGCGCAGAACCGCCAGGAATAAGCCGTGACAAGGAGAGAATAAGAAGGAATTAATGAGGATAGTTTACCGGTTTTGTACACAAAACATGGCTTTGTCATTTCCCATGACACTTTCCAGATGCCTGTCAACAAAACAAAAACGATCGTCTCGCCCGGTTCTGTTTTTTACTTTTTCTTTCTTGTGCAACTACAATGGAGATTCTTTAGGTTGAATTTAAGTTGTGTGCGAAGGCTATAAAGTAACATCAAAACTGTTTGAAATGAAAGCCGGTAAACAGAGTCTATCTTTCTCTGCAATTTATTTCCTTCGCAAACAGAACCATAGAAGACTACCATCAAAAACCAGAGGTCTTTTATTGATTCTGGATAGAGAGAAAGAACATTTCTTACTCAAAAAGGTTTGAGTTAAACTATAAATGCTGAGTACTTTGTAATAAATTTACTTTCTGTATTCAATGTTCGTAGTCTACCTTTTTGAATATTTTTTCATGCTTACCTAAGCATAATCTCGTATTTTTTTTTTTCTCATTCACAGTCAAATCTTCTCATGACTTACACTCTTGAGAAAGAAGTGATTGTAATGATCACCGACCGCGGTGGAAAGACATTCTTTTTTCATGCTTGGTCATAGCTTCTTTTACTGATTTGCTTTTATTCAGACTATTCAAAAATGCTGAAATTAGACATTCAAAGTCCTTTGAAGGAGAGAGAAGGTGTCTTTGGAACCGACATGATTGCTTGTAAGATCTGAGTTCAAGCAGAAAAATGAAAGAGGTGTAATAGAACATGTGAAATATCTGCGTAACGATATATTGCCAACAGTATGAAAACCAAAAGCATTACATAGGAAATTGAGTTGCCTTGTTCACAGATGTAGAGCAGTTGCAGTTTAGTTTTTTAAACTGTGAACAGGTGAAATACCATGGTGATGCAAGAAGGCTTCGGGATAAATCATAAAATGTTGGCCTGCTTTCTTATTCTTTCTATTGCGAGAGAGGGGAGGGCAGGTAACACTTCTTCCTCGCAAGTTTCCTCCCCTCCCTTGCTCCCTTAGTAAGAGCTTTTACTGTCACGCCATCGTGCGTTAAAACTAAGAACAACTGAATGTCTGAAGCTTCAAATACAATCTTCTTGTTGAGAGATTGTTGTTGAATAAGAAATCCACCCAAGTCTACTGTGTTTGTTTCTCTGAGATTTTCCGCTAAGTGGGTATTTACGAAATGTAGATATAGTTATTTATTTAAGTTACAAAATGTAAGCAAAATCTGCTTGTTTTGCCACGAAGTGATTAGCTGCCCACCGAAAATTTGCATAAGGTCATCAAAGCAAATTTTGTACTGCTTCGACTGCCTAGAGGACAAGTTGTCATCGTCGCTGACGAGAAAACTGTTTACTGACCTTAGAGGTGGTAGCTAATCTCATGTAACATGAAACTAATAAAACTGAAGATAACTTTGAAAAGGAAAGTCGCACCACGTTGAAAACAAAAATTCCCAAACCCCTCTTAGGGTTTCGGATCGTGTAACTTTTACCGTTTGTGCCAGTCCATTGTTTGATCGCGAGTTATCATAATCAATGTTGACTCTTTGTTGTCAATACGATCGAACAGTCCCTACTTTACTGAGAAATAAAATAAACATAGTCTATATACGCTAATTAGCTAGTGTTTTAAAATATAGCGACGAAGTGCGGGAAGCATTGCGCCTGACAGCTTGTGCTTGTTAATCACTTCTCTCCTGTTCTTAATGGATCTGCGTGCTTCTTTAACTCAACAATGCACTCAGTGCGTTTTTTAATTATTTTTTTAGTTTTTAAGACAGAACTATGATGTCCAAATTGGCAATAATTGGATAAAAACAAAGGAAAATTACGACGGCCAAAATTTGACAAGGAGGCAAAATTCCAATTTGGCTCTGAGGAATTTCCAATACAATAATTCGAAATCGAAACACTTTGAAATGTTAAAATTCCTTGTTCATCAGACACATGAACACATGATTTATTTCCACCCTTCAAAATAAAAAAATTTCATTTCAAAGCCATGTATGCGCTTGAAAAAGAACGCTCTGGTTGGTCAGAAATCGATTAGCTGTATCAAAACTGAGAAGTAAAGAGTTTCCCCCAGAAGTAATGCAAAAACCACTAGATAACGAGGGCTTCGACAGTAAGAACTGCAAGTACAAGTCCCGAGGCGAGACTCGATTTCAAGACTTTTAAAAGGAGCCTAATATGGGTTTTGAGCTCGAGGATTTACAGCATTTTTTAAGGTACGTATAACGCACGCCAACTCCAAGAGCAAAGAGGATGCACGAGGGGGATTATGTTGACAAGGTTTACTTCCTCCTATGATGCAATTTTTTAAGTTCTGTGAATGTTTTTAAAACAAACTTGTGACAATGATTTAAATCTTACTGCTTCGGGATTTTGCTTCTTTTATAAGTTGAGTGGCACCATTGTATTAATTGTAAGATGTGTAATTGATTTTCTTTCGTTCTTTTTTCATCATTTAATCATTAGTCTGTTTTCCCTGCGACTGAAAAGTCCCTTTAGATACTTCAAAGGAAATAGGCGGGTGATTATGAATGTTTTGTAAGTTTATGAGTCTGTACTTTCAGAAACAAAAACGCCTTCAACGAGATTGGTTCCGAAACAAATATTACATAGATAAATTACTTCAAATGTTTCCTTTGATTAGAACCGCGAGAGACCAGGCAGCGACTAGTTTTAGTTTTGGCGCGGGACGCACAGCAGAGCGAGGTTCCAAATTAACTGTGCCCTTAAAAGAGGCACTGTGAGAGTTTAAGTGTCTTGCCCACGAACTTAACGTATTGTCCCGGCCGGGTCTCGAACCCAGGCCTCTCGACGCGGAGTCTAGTGCATGCATCGTCTTATAAATTGAAAAGTTGGCGCGAGTTTTCCGGACCAATCACAAAGAGAGGTGAAGCAAAACTAACGCAATTCCCATGAACACATCAGTGATCATCGCATACTTTACAAGAACAAAGTTTATTAATACTTAAATTACAGGTGTTTTCCTCAACACTTAAATAACCGGGTTTTTTTTTCATCAAAACTTAAAAGTAAACTGCATAGTCTGAAGCCACAACATAAAAATCTCAACACCAGCGTTCAAAGATGAGAAAAGAAACCAACAGATACAAGGATTTTTCGGCAAAAAGTTTTGAAAGGTGTTTTCTTTTTTTTACTTCATACTCTCAAACCAGAGCATAATGACTTCGAAACAAACGTCCATACAGGAGTATTACAATTGATAATTTCTGTCAGCTTAAGTTCTGAGGAGAATAAATTGAAGCCACACTGATTGTGTCCTAGCCTCCTTGGACTGTGTTTCTCCACCATCAGCGTCTCCAGTTATGCACAGTAGTGATATATGCTTGTGTCAGTTTTATTTGCAGATGATTTTCTATCAGCACATCAGTGTGGATCAAGACAAAGCTAGAAGACTGTTAAACACCTGCCGTGACGTGTCACATCATTTCAAATCTCACACTTCTCAGAATATATGAGGAAAAGGATTATAATTATTATTATTAGTAGTAGTAGTAGTATGTTACTTTCACAGTGGCTTCATGAAAACTGTAATCTTGAAGAAATATTCTTACAAATTATAATCATATCTGTAAGGATGAGAATCTGTTTGCACAATAAATCGTGACCTATTTACAAAAGATTATTTACAATTTAGATAGGATGTGTTTTGATCAGAAGACTTATCGTTCTGAATAGAGCACGACGTTATTTTTAGCAAAATTAATATCAATATACTGTTATAAATAAACTCATTAATAAAAATGTCAAAAAAGAGTAGTAGCAGCAAGTCTTTAGGACATTCCTGCCATAACTAAGTACAAGAACCCAAAAACAAGAGCAACTAATTTACAAAAATAGCAGATGAATTTTCAGTCAGTCTGAAAAGCGAAAAAAGAAAATAAACCAACATGAGAACATCACCATGTCATATCCCAAAATAGTCCATTTTACAGTTGTGTGCTTGGTTACCAAGCCTTTGAACGGGAGTGAGGCTAGGGGTGACCTTGTTATGACACAAACCCTGCTGCTTTTCAACTAATGTAAATCACTTTGTTATCATGCTAACTAGATACAGGTCTTTATCACAACACGGTCACTAAATCAAAGGCTTGGCAACTAAGTACACAACTGTAAAATGGCCTATTATAAAGTATGTACTGAGCTCTTAATTCATAGGTGTATGGCTTGAATTTCGCCTAATTCTTTGACCACAAAGAGTGACAAGCATTTAATTTTTCCTTAAAATATCATCCCTGAATCACATACGAAGGTCACAAGAATAGAGGAAATGATCATTAACTAAAGATGCCCTTGATGGATAACCAAATTCTCCTTATCAGCACCTTAGGAAATGTATACAGAACAGTATGGAGAATATGCATACTGATGTTAGGGTGTACAAGGGCATAGTTAATTATTAACTATGACAAGGGTTAGGATGGAAGACTGATTAGGGATGTGTCAAAAACGAAGACCCAAAAACGAAGACCTAAGACCTAAGACCCACTAGTCTAAAACGAAGACCCTGTGGTCTAAAGCGAAGACCCTGTGGTCTAAA